AAACTAAATAATATAGGAATCCTAATTATAAATGGTAACAAATATCCTAACAATAGAATATTACTTTCTAATAATAATATAATTAACTAACCATAAATAATAATACTACCTAATATAATAATAATAACCACTAACCATTAATAATAGTAATAATAATAATAATAATAATAATAATAATAATAATAATAATAATAATAATTAATCCCATATCACTCTCCCCGCCTCAAAAACCAACTTGTCCTCAAGTTGGAAATTCAACAAAGAACGGGGAAAAAGTGTGTCATTCATCGTCCATCCTCCGGGGTCAAACACCTTCGTTATTGGAGCATCAAAAGAACGTGTTGGACCTACAACATCTCCAACACTATTTAAATAATTACATGCGACCAACTCGATGAAAAGAATGCAACCGGGTGCAATACTTCTTGATTTACAGATAACAATAACCTCAGCATCAGGAATTCTAAAGTTTTCTGTGCATCCATAAACAATTAGAATGTCCCCAAAAACTTCCTCGCGGCCTTGATGGCGTGCATCCTCATGAACATCGTCTGTAGGAACAGGATCAGTAACAATAACAAAATCATCATCGGAAATACATACCGGATGAACAACAATTTCCCCCTTCATCGTGAGTGACTTATTGGTATTCATGATATTGGACCCACTTTTCTTGTCATCTTCGACATGTGGTTCATCACTTAAATTTTCCACAAGAGGACCTGTGTGTGCGGCTGTGTTTTCCACCAACTGAACAATCATGTCTCCAGCCTTAGGGGCTAAATTTGGTAGAGAAAGAGGAGCACCGATGAGTCCCCTTATTGCGTTCATCATGTTTTTTCTGAAGATGTATAACTCTATCGGGATCAAACTTGGTAGAATTGGGGGACCACGAACTAAATCTTGTATTGAGCAAAAGGCCTCTACGGAGAACGCATATACCTCATAATCAAATTTTGGTTGACCTTCAATTGGACGGAATGCCTGAAGTTTCTTTATAATTTCATCCACGGAATCTTCAACTGCACCCACGCCTTCATAAAATTCAATTTGTCCCCGTAGAACTTTCTCGAGTAAACCAAGAACTTTGTCCAACAGAGAATCCATTGCGTGTGCTGTAGATTTTTTTTTTGTATTTTTTGGGTGAGTTCAAGAATGAAAGCACCAATTGATACGGAATCGTATCGAGATAGAGAAGGATTTCGAGCACCTTCAAGCTCCAAGAACAAAAGAGGCGAGAAAGAGAGAGATTAAGGTTTAGGAGAAAGTATTTTCTTTATTCATTGATAAATAATTTATTGAAATGGATACATTTATAGCTAGGACATCTAAAGAATCCTTACCATAGAAGGAAACTAAATAATATAGGAATCCTAATTATAAATGGTAACAAATATCCTAACAATAGAATATTACTTTCTAATAATAATATAATTAACTAACCATAAATAATAATGCTACCTAATATAATAATAACCACTAACCATTAATAATAGTAATAATAATAATAATAATAATAATAATAATAATAATTAATCCCGTATCATCCTTCCGTTTGGAAAAACTCTTCTCATTTTGATTTGGGGCAAAAATAAGAAAATGTTAAATTATAGTTGATTTCTAATTTTGCCCCTGATGTGATGGGTAAAAGTAAAATGTGATGGATAGATTATTAGAGAAAAAGTATGATGTGATAGGTAGGGTATGAAAAAGTAAGGGTAAAAGTGGTTTTTTAATAGAAAGGGGAAGTGTTTTGTTGGAAGTGGAAAAAATGAAAGAGGATGTGTTTTTGAGAACGGGGGGAGTATCAAACAAATTCATTTAATTATTCTACACATTTCTTTTAACTCCATGTAATAAAAACTTGTTCTAATAGCATGACGTAATGTGAGATCATATACAAAAAGATTTGGAAATACATGCAAATAAGAGATGTTAGAAATGAAAGCATGCAAAGCACAGTGATTCCTAAAGGAAGCTTGGAATAGACAAGAGAGAATGGTTGCCTACTAACATGTAGCTTGATGAGTATATTTTATTAATTCGGCCCGGTTCTAGTGACACCGGAGAACGGTGCCACTAGCGGTGCCACTTGATTTTTGGGGCACCTCCGGTGCTCCGTTCGTAAAATTGACGGTTCCTACCCCCCCTAACCCACCCCCTAAACCCCCCACCCTACCCCCACCCCTGCACCCCCACCCCAATCCCGCCGTAACCCCCCCACAAAATGTGTGGCTATTATGCATTGCATAATAGCCACACATTTTGTGGGGGGGTTACGGCGGGATTGGGGTG